CTCAGATAATATTATAATCCCTAATTCCAAAAATACATTTTGTAAGTAAAACATATTTTTGATCTGTTTCAGTTATCAAAGTGCACGTCAACAGATATTTTGATACATGCATAGCTGGGGGTGTTGAAATTCTAGGTCTCCATGCGACTGTTGCTCCAAGACGACAACAACAATCTCCACCAACTTTAGAATCATTTCAGTTTGTGCCATACATCAAAGAAACCACAGAAGATTCAAAAATGTCTCAGTATCTCAAACATTGTCAAACTTATGTTGATTCCACCCTGAAGAAAATATTAGAAAGCCCCATGAAAGAGCTTTTACCAAATAGAGACCTTATTGAGAAATATGTCATAAATGGTCACAATGAAACTTTGGAGACCAGCATCATAACTGACTTGCTAGAAAATGAGAACTACACTCTCCTCAAGGGTTTACATGAAACAATGAATGGGATGCTACATGAAGAAAAATACCAAACTGGACAAGCAAAGGATATGATAAAGCTGACTATTGAATCTCGAAACGCAATTTCCAGAGACCCTTTAATGTGCAATCTTCTCCAAGACAACAATCTCAAACCTGCCCTAGATATTATGCTTGAAAACACACTCACAAGGAATCTCAAAGTCAGTGAAATAGGCAATAATCAAAACGGTGCAATATTCAATGATGTATTAGGGCTGTTGAAGTCCCAACCTATGGTTAAAGTTGACTATACTCTCTCTGTTGAATCTAACGATGAAACAGACCAGGATGAGCAAGATGTGAATGTTCTTGAATGGAATCTTACCCAAAAAGTGCCAAATGACCTCAAGAAGTCAGATTTGGTTGTCCTCAATCATATGCTGTTGAAAGATGAATTGACTAACATTGAGGTTTTTGAAAAAGCATCTGACATGGTAAAAGAGGATGGATTTGTCCTTGTACATGAATACACTGACAACCAAAGTATTCCATTCATTGTGAAGTGTTTAACCGATGATGTACCCGCAGATTACTCACCCAATATTCAAGGATGTCAAACATTGGAGAAACAAATGAAAGACTGTGGGTTTGAGATTATTTATCGCAGAACAGATCGTCTGCTTTCTTCCATTTATCTCTGCAGGAAACAAACAAAAGATGAAAAATCAGATTTCCAAATTATCAAATTGAATGAAATGGAACCGAAATGGGTGGACCAATTAAAAGATGGTCTGAAAACTGCCCAAGAGAAGTCGTCTGTGTATCGATGCTGGCTCCTGAGTGAAGCACCTTCCAGTGGGTTGGTTGGAATGGTTAACTGTTTACGCCAAGAACCAGGAGGGGGAAAAATCAGGTATGTAAAATTGATAAAGGTTCTGACATAGATATGTTATGATAGCTACCACTATTTGTGACCTGTGTTCATAGTTTGGTGGTTTGCATTTGTAACATAATGTGGATAAATTAAATTCTCAGTTTTTAACCATATTTAAATATGTTATTTAAAAATGTTATTTTTACATATTTTACATACAGTGGGTTATTTGCAGGTGTATATTCAACGCTACACCAGGATGCAGTCTGAGCATTGACGCAAACTCAGCACAATTCCAAGATCTTCAAAGAAAAGATTTGGCAATGAATATCTTGAAGGATGGCATTTGGGGCTCATATAGACATCTGACCTTCGAATCAGGTAAATGTGATAATATGAATACATGCATGGGAACATTTCAAATAAATACAAAATTCTATGCACAACAAAAATGGCGTATTAGTTTTGTTGGTATTTGTGAACATCTTGGGTCACCTTCCTCTTCATTTATTAATCAATACTTATGACTTACAGATATCATGAATTGGATTAGTTCATAGATGCAAAGTTTTTTGTTGTATCAGTGAAATTACAGATTTTTGCAAACCACGAGAACCACAGCAATATGTGGTCAATGAAACTTTTAATTTCAGGTTTGCAGAGTGATAGAGTTGTTGAAACCGAACATGCATTCGTCAATGTTCTTACCAAGGGAGATTTATCCAGCTTGCGGTGGATAGAATCCCCACTTAAATATTTCAAGCCTCATTCTGAAAATGAGGCTGAGAAAGCCCTCTGTAACGTATACTATGCATCATTGAACTTCCGGGACATCATGCTTGCAACAGGCAAACTTCCACCTGATGCTATACCTGGTCATATGGCTCTACAGGATTGCATACTTGGAATGGAATTCTCCGGTCGTCAACCTGATGGTAAAAGGATTATGGGATTGTTACCAGCTAAGGTGTGCTTTTAACTTGTTTGAATCCAACCAAGTGAAACAAAAACCATGTACATTAGAGTGAGAATTTTTTGTTCGATTTATTTTAGATTACCTGTATGGCTTTAATTTAACAATGAACATTGATTACTGAGCTGATACCAGTTTGGGCTGTTATCTTTAAAAATATTCATTTGATATTTTAGGGCCTGGCTACAACTGTAGATGTTGACCCTAGATTTTTATGGTCTATTCCTGAGGCCTGGAGCATGCAACAGGCTGCAAGTGTACCAGTGGTCTATGCAACAGCCTACTATGCTCTGGTTGTCCGGGCCAGAATACAGAAGGGAAACACAGTCCTCATACATTCAGGTTGGTACTAAATATATCGGTGATAATATTGTCTAGGTGACAAAGTTTTCATTTTTGGATTTAAAGCCTCTACTATCTACTATAGCTAATTAAAAGGAATTTTATAATCAGAATGTTAAGTTTTCTGTTGGAGGATTAAATGCAAACCTGCTGTTATAGGTAAACTTGTACTCTTACGAGTAGTACAGTACACTACAGTACTGTACATTTACAGTACACTACAGTACTGTACATTTACAGTTCACTAGTACAGTACTGTACATTTATCTATATCAAAGTACCAAAATATTTATATTTTTGATAAAAACTTAAAAAATCCATGAATATGTTATAACAGGAAGTGGAGGTGTTGGTCAAGCAGCCATATCTATAGCACTGAGCCGTGGTTGTCGTGTACTGACGACAGTTGGCACACAAGAGAAGCGTGAATACCTCAAACAGAGATTTCCCCAGCTGTGTGATGCTGACTTCAGCACATCCAGAGACCCCAAGTTTGAATTTGATGTCCTCAAGGCCACCAAAGGAAGGGGTATGTATTTTAGATACAATAACTTATAAAAACAAGAAGATACATGTATATTTCTAACATTTGTGATGCACTTTGCTCACCGTATTACTTCTGAGGAACACAGAAAATTCAATCTTGATTTTGCCAATGTCTGAAATTAAATCAAACACAAAAATGTCTTAACAATAAATCTATTGTATTCTAAACTTATTATATCAAAAGTTGCACTCATATCAAATATAATCATGATTTTTATGTTCCAGGTTGTGATGTGATTCTGAATTCACTGGCTGAAGAAAAGCTCCAAGCAAGTCTCAGATGTCTGGCCCAACATGGAAGGTTCTTAGAAATTGGAAAGTTTGACCTCTCCAACAATACCGCCTTGGGTAAATAACACTTTTAAACTTCATTATAACCACATGAGAATGACAGAGGCATGTATACATGTACTTATTCAGTGATGGTGTAATAATCATTGTATTCGTAATATTGAATGTTTTGCTGTAAAAAAGTAATATCCTGTGCATTTTATATCACACCAGTGGTGGATTCCCATAGTAAGCACTGCATGGTATAAAATGAAAAATTATGTACTGGCATCAAGATAATGATTGTTCAATTACCTTATTAGGTATGGCCATGTTCCTTAAGAATGTCAGTTTCCATGGAATCCTATTGGACGCTTTGTTTGACGAGGGGAACAGTGATTGGCAGACAGTTTACGACCTTGTTGCAACTGGCCTGAAGAATGGTGAAGTCCAGCCTTTGAATACTACCATATTTGGGCATGATGAAATAGAAGGTGCATTTAGATTCATGGCCCAGGGCAAACACATCGGAAAGGTCCTTGTGAAGGTATTATTAATACTCAATTAGTATTTATTTCAATTTTAGAGTACTAATAACTAGTGTACATTTGGGAATGGAGAACCTCTATATAAATATACAATTCGGAGGTTAAATTTTGATCTAGCTTGATTAAAATTGATTTTTCTTTGAAATTGCAGAGTATTTTGAATGATAATATAACTAATCATAATCATAATGTGTAACAACAATAACTATATTCAATGTTAAGAATATAATTAAATTGGTTCTCTAACTTCCTAGGTACAAGAGGAAGAGTCCAACCAGACTTGTACCGCCACTCCACATAGACTGAAGGCAATATCTCGCACTTACTGCCATCCAGACAAGGTCTATATCATCACTGGGGGCTTGGGGGGCTTTGGACTGGAGCTGGCTAATTGGCTCATTGAGAGAGGAGCAGTTAATATCATCCTTACTTCCAGATCAGGTATGTTAGCTATGTACATTTACAAAGTGTGTATAATCATGGAAGTGAAGGAAATAGTTTCTTTTTTGAAAGTTCAGATCACATAAACATTTTTTTTTCAAGATGAACTCTCTTAAACTGAATAACTGAACATCTTTTTTTGTTACCAGGCATTCGTACAGGGTACCAACATCAACGGGTAAACACATGGAGACAAAATGGCATTCGTGTTACCATAGCAACCAATAACATAGCAACAGAGGAAGGAGCCCAGCAACTACTGAAAGATGGTATGAAAATTGGGCCTGTTGGAGGATTGTTCAACTTAGCCATGGTGAGACCTTTGTCATAATTTTCCTTATCCAAGCTATTTGCTATCAGTTCAATATCTGAGCCAGTACATTACTTTCATATTATGATTTATACTGCTTCAGTGCATAGTAATATTTTCTATGTAATTATTGATCTCAACATTGCAGCCAATGTGTTAAAGATGGCCAAGTAATTTTGTGTTTAAACAAGTCCTATTACTTTTTTACCTGTGCAGGTATTGCGTGATGGAATACTAGACAATCTAACAGCTGAAGATTTTGAAAAAGTGTTTGAGCCAAAAGTGAAAGGAACCCTGAACCTTGACATTGCATCACGTGAACTCTGCAAGGACTCCCTTGATTGGTTCGTTGCATTCAGTTCTGTTAGTTGTGGGCGTGGCAATGCAGGACAGAGTAATTATGGTTTCGCAAATTCTGTCATGGAGCGAATATGTGAGCAAAGAAAACAGTGCGGCCTACCAGGTAATTTGTAAGACATATGTGATTTTGGACAACTTTTGGTGATTTTCTTTGAATAATTATTGATTGCCATTTTATGATGTGTGGATCAGGAAATGCTGAAATGGATTCTAATGCAATTATTTTAACTTCTTTGTTCATATCATCCTCCAGATACCATGCTTTGTTGCAATATAATCCAGTACATTTGACGGATGTACATATATGCTATATTGTAGGTTTGGCTGTACAATGGGGAGCAATAGGTGATGTAGGAATTGTCTTGGAAGCAATGGGTAACAATGACACTGCTGTAGGTGGTACCTTGCCTCAGCGTATCCACTCATGTCTGGGCACACTTGACATGTTCCTGAACCAGTTTCAACCAGTTGTATCCAGTTTTGTCCTAGCCCAACAAAAGTCAGGAGGAAAATCAACCTCTGAAGGAAAGACTGCTCTGGTTGATACCATTGCAAACATTCTAGGTATGCAATCTTTCAACCATAAGCATTAATTCTTTGATAATATTGTTGTAAAACGTTATGGCAACTATATTGTATTGTATTATTATGATACCAAATGTGAGTTTTTTTTTTGATCTTATGATCCTATATTCAATCAAAATTTATAATCAGAAAATTATGCACAACAAATTGCTTGAGAGTACATGTAGCTAATACATTATATTTCATATTCAAACTCACATAAAAGTCCATGAAACTTCATTTGAGATCATGAAGACCATCTGTTTAAGTCATAGGCTTGTGTTATATAAAATTGTTATTTGACCTTTCAGGTGTCAAAGATGCCTCAAGTGTCAATCCAGACACAACCTTAGCTGACCTTGGCCTAGATTCTCTGATGGGAGTCGAAGTGAAACAGACTCTTGAACGTGACCATGAACTTGTTCTACCAATGCCACAAATACGTCTACTCACTGTAAATAAACTCAAAGAAATAGCTGAAGGCAAAACAGTTAATGGTGAAGCAACAGAGTCGAGTAGTTCAAAGAAGGACACTACCCATGCCTATGTAAATAGGTACAACCTCGATGAACTCATGCCAAAAGAGACAATTATCCAGATGCATTCTGGGAATAGTGAACTTCCTCCCCTGTTCTTTGTTCACCCAATAGAAGGTGTTTGCAAAAGCTTGGAAACATTGGCTTCTGGGTTGGAACCTTCTGTTTATGGACTCCAGTGTACCCAGGATGCCCCTCTAGAAACCGTAGCTTCTTTAGCAGATTTCTACATTCAGGTATTTACAAATATATGTATGATATCACATTACATTTGTTGTAGCATTTTTAGCAACAAGTTAATATCAATATTAATTCTCATGCTAGTGTAAAAATCAAAGAACTTGAACTTATTATGACCATGTGTATATGTGACATAATCAATGGTATAATATTGAATTATATCATCAATATTATTGCCATAATCATATATCATTAATATTCACATCCTTACTTGACTATAAATGTTGCATTTTTCATATATTAGATTTTCGTGAAATTCGAGCAATTGAGGTAGTACAGCATATCTCTAAGTTTGGATTTACATGTCTCACCTCGATTTTTATAGCATAAACTATGTACATTTAAAACTTCACCAAACTTTTCAGTAACTGCCCCTTTTTGGTATTAACCCTTGAAATACATTATACAAGCTTCACAATTCTAATGTTTCAGAAAATAAGAACAATCAAGCCAACAGGACCATACAAGATCTCAGGGTACTCATTCGGCGCTTGTGTGGCATTTGAAATGGCATTAAAACTTCAGGCATCATCAGAACTAGATACTTTGCATCTACTCGATGGTTCTCACAGTTTTGTGTCTTCCCGGACTCAACTTCATAAAGCGGCACGTGTTGAGGTTGGGAATGAGGCTCAGACAGAATCTGAGGCATTGGTCACGTTTATTATGCAGTTCATGGATGTCGATTATACAAAGGTACTGAAGAAACATCTTTTCTCTTTTACAGATCTTTACTGTTGAGTTCCTTATTATGAATCAACATTTACAGTTAAGTTCTTTGTGGAACCAATGATGAACTGACACATATGTTTATTTGCTCCATTTTGGTATTTTTAGAACTTTAACTTTCATCAAGTGTTATGATAAAAAAAAGAACATGTATATTGAAGTAAAAGTAATGAAAGAAAATAAGTAATTCACTCTTTACTGTCATTTATGTGGAAAATAAATAACATGCATTTTTTATTATTAATTTTTCAGTTATTGAGCAGTTTAATATCAGAGAAAGACTTCCAAGCACGTGTAAACAGTGTGACTGACAACCTGTTGACTTCAAAGACTTTCTCTAACAAAGAGGACCTACAGATTGCTGCAACATCATTTTACCACAAACTCGTAATTGCTGATAAGTACATTCCTGGCGAAAGCTTTTCCGGGGATGTCACCCTTATTAAAGCTGAAAGTGGAACTGAAAATCTTGAGAATGACTATGGGCTCTCAAAGGTTGGTGCATTCATATATTGGATAGAATTACCTATATGTGTGCTTTCAATAAAGACAATGGTCTGCTAAAATCTGTCTGGAATTTTTAAAGAAAAATGCAAACAGATGAAATCTTATATTTAATGGTGACTGGATATGATCAAATGGATATTAGTTAGATTGATTTATATTCTTTTCAGCTCACATATTTGAGCTATTATATCACCCAATTGTCTGTCTATTTATAATTTTATTTAACATGTACTGTTAACATACACCATGGAGTAAAGCAGACCCGTTAATACCATGAGCTTGTTCAGTGGTCTCATGGCTGCTTCATCATGGTAGTATGTTCAGCTCAATGTGGATCCTCAAATGCTCACAGTATCATCTTGTCTTCTTTATCCTCGTGTAAATGTTTGAGGGACAATTAATACAAACATATTTCATTCAATATATTCTACTTGTTTCAGGTTTGTACAGGAAAGATAACTGTCTACACAGTACCAGGGGACCATGAGACATTTATACACAAACCAAATGTTGACAAAGTCATCTCACATCTCAAATGAAGAAACTGAAGTGAACTATTAATAATATATACAGTAGTCTTAGTGGATACTGTTTTCTTTGGTCTGAGGTGTTCACTATCTATGTGTTCTATATAGGATCTCTAAGTGTAGAATTTCTCCGGTAGGTACAATATACAGTACTACTACTAGTTGGTAATACTGTAGTAGCAGTTTCAGTGTTAAGTTCCGGACATCCCACCTCAAGCAGATGATATTATTGCCAAAAAGGACATACAGCATATAGGAACGAATAGTTCCCCTGAACTCAACACCATACAGTGTATCAATTAGATCTTCAAACAATACTGCCATTGCAAACTCGGCAGATATACTCTCGCTTTAATCTGAGTAAACACTTGCTGGTTATTGTGCAATAACTAAAAGAATTTGTGGAACTAAATCATGTATACAGGACTTCAGTATTGTCTCAGATAGATATTACAATGTAGTTTTGGTTGAAGCAGCTGATATTTATTGTACATCCCAAAGATGGTTTGAAATTATTTCATAACAAGTGGCCAGAATTTATTGAGGCTATGCATATGTAAAGACTAAATGGTCTGGGATGGTTTGGATTTTTTTTTATCTATTGCAACTTATTAAATATTTTATCATTCCAATTCATGGACAAGCACCTCCGGAATGTAGTTTTGTGCAATTAGGCATGTACTTATATTCATTTTTTGTGATATTGTTTTTAGTATCCCACTTGTTTGCTATCATTGTTTTACAACTCTTACATATTTAATATATGTACATGTATATTATGAACTTTTTGAGAGAAATGTGATATTATGTTTATATTTACCTTTTTTATTGAGAAATTGTTTTGTCCTGTTGATATTAATACATGTATTTCCTCAATCTCAGAAGTTGAACTTTTAATTTTTTACTTCAATGGTTATATTTTGAAATATATCCTCCATGTATTTGTATTTTTCTTTGGCATATCTGTCAGACAAAATATCTATAACATTATAATGGGAAGAAATGCACAGCAAAATATCTTTTTTTACTATATATTTATTTATTTCAAAATGATAACTTGATTGTACAAGCATTAATATGCAAAAGTCAAGTAGACTTTAAAGCTGCAAAAATAATATAGTCAAATAAAAATGAAAGTTGCTAAATTGAAGAAGTTCATTTAATAAGCACATTATTCTAAGGAAAATGGCCTTTAAAATACCATTACAAAAACTCATATAAAAACATATTTTCACGATTGTTTGTTGCATACATGTAATGACCAATAACAGATCAACCATATTACACGTCTTGGTTACAATAACCATACAACTAATTATTTAGGGTATGGATATTCATTCCATTTCATGAATAGACATGAATGTTGAATAAATTGAATATTCTTAATAACAATAATAAAATTAAATGATTGTATTTTAATCTTATTTTGATGTCACAGCTTATACATGTTATAGTGATGTCATAACTTCAGAGATATATTTTGAATAATAAATAATGATTAATTGAAATTATTTTATTTATATTTTTAAACCACTACACTGTATAAAACCTAACCCATAAAAATATATACTCATGTACAGTTACTAGATACTCAGAATCTGAGAGTACTAGAAACCTACTTCCTTATAATATTAATCATAATTATGATTCCTGATTTTCAATGTCTCACAGTGTCAATGACATAAGACATAGAATTTCACAAATCATAACTGAAATATTTCAAGATATGGCATCCAGACTAGTTCCTATGTGAACACACATCAATTTAAAAAAACAATATAAGATGTAACATCTACTAGTAGACTGGCTTTAGCAATAATTTTTCACATTTAAACATATTTTTACATAAAAATACCCTTTGCAAGAGAACTAACTTAAACACACACTTTGAAAGAGCAATAAACCTCTGAAATCACCAAGCCAATCCTTTCACAGCCATGGCAACTTTAGTTTGCTAATATGAAAAACATTCATGTGGCTTAGGATTGCTCTCGAACTGGTTGATATGCCTAAATGAAAATTATCAATTTTAATCAGAGTATAGCTGAAAAATCTGCAAGTTGAGGGCACACATAAGTATGCATCCATACATCATGGACATTCATTCTTTCCCCCTTGGCACATGTACTACAACGACTTTAACTGGCCTTTTGCTTTCACATATTAATTGCCATTTTTATTCACATATTGCTAGAAAAATGTTTACTGGCCTTTTGCTTTCAAGCTATATTAATTGCCATTTTTTCACATATTGCTCCAGAAATGTTTACTGGCCTTTTGCTTTCAAGCTATAATTGCTATTTTTATTCACATCTTACCAATGACCATTTATTTAAATGATTAGTAAGACATTAACAAGGCATTAACATGACCAAATGTCACCACCTAGTTGCTCATTATGCAGTCAACCTTAAGTCAGATTTGAATTTCTGAGAACTTGTAGGTGATTTTGAAAAAATAAATTGGTCAATTTGAAAAAACTTTTTTGGCCCTGAGGTCATTGAAGGTGAAATCTCAAATCTAAGTCAGATTTGAATTTCTGAGAACTTGAAGATGATTTTGGAAAAAAATGGTCAATTTGAACCAAGATGAAAAAAGACCTTTTTGACCTTGAGAAGGTTATTAAAGGTCAAATCTTTTTTGACCTTGAGAATGCCATTGAAGGTCAAGTATATAGTCAGATTTGTACTGTTGAGAACTTAAAGATGATTTTGAAAAAAATGGTCAATTTGAAGCAAGTTGAAAAAATACCTCTTTTGACATTGAGAAGGTCATATCTTTAGTCAGATTTGAACTTCTGATAACTTGCAGAAAGTTGGTCGATTTGTAAAAATACCTTTTTGACCTTTTCTTGACCTTGAAAAGGTCATTGAAGGACAAATCTTAGATTTAAAGTCAGATTTGAACTTCTAAAATCAAAAAAAAGAAGTCAGTCACCAGATGCGGATCGCCAACCGCCAACCATAAACCGCCATCAAAGAAAAAAAAACGGAAACCATACCAATATGTCACCACTTTTTGATGGTGACATAATAACACTATATAATGAACTGTGTGAACAAAATTAAACTAGGCATTAACATGCAAAATGTCACCACCACTTGTTACATATGACAACGGGTGATCACCAACCACAATCACCAAAAAACAATATGTCACCACTTTTTGGTGGGGACATAAAAAATTATATTTACATATAAGCCTGGGCTTTTCTCAGGTTTTATAAACCTGATGCTGTAAGCTTTATTTCTATGAGCACAAGAAAAACAAACTTTTATTATACAATGGCCATTAAGTAGAGAATATCTAAATAATTATGATACCCTTTATTAATGGTCACTGTAATTCACAAACATTTAGCTATAATGTCCCTGAAATATATCTGACCCTGAATTTCTAAACTGATATCATCCATTTCAGTCCATATCCAGATCTTTGATTTGAGTTTACACAATTTTATACAATTTCTTTCTTTGGTCCTAATCCACTCCTAGTTTTTTATTTCTGCAGAGTGTGGGCAGAATTTTCCTGGGGCTACAGAATTACAGAATCTTAATTTCAACTTACAAAAAGCTTGGAGTGGTAATCACATGTAATATTCATTGATTTTTGTATGCATTTTACTCAAAATAAATAGTTCACCTATATTTTACTTACTAGTATGTGGTATTCTATACTACCTATATTCAGTATTTAAGGTGTACCAAAAATGCAGCCCACCTAACAACGTATAACATTTTTAACCAATTAAAACAACTCTTTGGTGATTGAGATATGCATTGGGGTGGGTTGCATTTTTGGTACACCCTGTACATTGGTATTAACATTAAATGGGGTTTCAATGGGTTTTGATTGTACTAAAATCATTTTCATTTGAGCACTGCTTGAATATTTCAAAATGAGAACTTAACATTTATGTCATGGTAAAACATGGTCAGTTCACTTATTAAACCTCAATTATACATATAATTTCATTGAGGTTTGGTTTTCGTATCACAGTCTGCAATTGTAATGGCTGAAGGTAACAATGCAAAATATCTTAATAATACTAATTCATCAAATCGCAAAATTCTGTTAAATCATAGTTACCATTTGCATTCGTTTGACTTCGCTTCTTAAAAGAGAGCTTTGTCTTGTAGTTTAACTAGACTCTACGTGCAGGGTATATGATTACCAGAATATAAAGTCATTTGTGAGAGAAAAATATAAGTGCACCCTTGAGGCAGTAAAGCACATTTTTAATCTTTTGATTGTATATTATTAATTGTATAGCATGGTTTTGAGAATGACAGGTATCACTATATATAATAAATATAAAGAGTTACTATCAATTAGTGTTACCTTAATCTGCCAGTTTTGAGATTAAATTGACCTATTTCTGATTTTGGATCAGGTGACCTTGAACTCCATGGTGTAGAGTAGCATATATCGAGATCAACACATTTTGAGGCTTTTTCAATTACACAATGCTCATGAATCTTCCAAAATTTTTCAGTAAGTTGATCAACCCATGAAACCAAACTTTCACCAGTTTTACGACCATTCATCTCGGCCTCGTCCTGAAGTTCTTTGGTATTTTTTAATTTTATAGCTTCCCTAAAATCAGCAAAGTCTCTATCACTATACAATTTCTTTGGACCATTATGCAGTTTTTGGACCTCCTCCTTGGTAATTGTGTGATTGTTATAATGTGTCAAAGGAATTATTAGAAAATCACTTTCTACTAACGTTTCCCAAGCATATATGACTCGAACTTTCCAAACGCCAGGACGTAAGGGCTGAATAAGAGATGGTTTGTGATAGGTAATAGAGTCCTCCGCATTGACACTAATATCATAAGATGCAGCAATTGTATTGGCTGGGTCTATCCACATTAGGGTGAAGGTGAACTTGGCACCACGACCCCATTGAATCCTAACAGACACTGCACTAAAGGGACCCATTAAACCAGCAACATTTCTAAACACTTCTTCCTTCAGATCAAAGTCTGTGCCCACCTAAAAGTAAAATGATGATGCAATGAAACATACATAATTTATAACAGATATTATTGATTCTGAATTCCCTTCAAATGGCTTTAACTCTCCACTAAGTAAATTCCACATATATTATCAAATCATTGCTCATTTTAATGATTTATGATAGATGCCAGTAGTACAGTCTCCATTTTTTCATGATTTCTTTGTACAAACCTCAATATTGACCATCCTGGCTGAAGGACCTAGAACTTGGAAGACCCGCATGAAGTGATCGACTTTCAGATGAGACTCTATTGTAACTTCCTTGTTGTCAGCCTTGTTTTTGGCTTTGTATAGCACCAATATACCCTGAAAATATTTAACAATGCTACTGAATCAATTTTTCAATCATTTCATAGTTAATGTAATGCCGAACGTTCCTATTTGGATTGATGTTAAGTTTGCTTAGACCAAGGAAAATAAAAAGTTGATAAAAGATGGCAGAGTAGTCAATTAGTTCATATATCTTATTTCATAGAGTCTCAATATTGAGTCAATTCAGGAGAGATTGGCTCGGCCCATAAAACAAGTAAGTAGTTCTAAGATTTGTCCTGTTAATTCATGGGGTGTCCTCCACAGGACTTTCAAGAACAAAAAAAGTAACATTGTGGTTAGAAGATGACCTCCTAAGATGACCTACTAATTACTTACCTGAAACCTATCTGCTCTATGATACGTCGTAACCTCCAACAGACGTGGTTCTGTTAGGTAACAACCAGTGCTACCTCTTGCCAGGCTAGCCATGCTCTGTCTAATGAATGCCTGGTAGAGCGTATAGTAGGCATTGTTGAACTTAACGACATGATCCAGATGGTGAAAGTCATTCTGCCAGTAAGATATCAACCCTGTTGTACCTAGAAATATTCAACCTGTATAGAATTTGACTGCTCAATGGATTTTCAGTTGAACATGTTTAGATTAAATTAAACTAAAAGGAAATAAATGTGAAATGGGACTGATCAAAATCTAAGAGGCTTGAGATTTATACACCTGTCCAACAATCTTATTGCATGTTACCAATAGTTGTTTTGAACATCTTTGAAACACACACTATCATGCCATCTATATTTGGATAAATTATCTTCTCCTCTGTTTTATCTTGCAGTTTGCATGTGTGATTGTCAATGAATGATACGCGTCAAAAGATGCTAAAATGGGTCAAGTGATGCCTTCTTTAAAGTTTCTTACCAAAGGGGTATTCTCCATTTATCTTCTCATCTATGATGTTAAGTGTTTTCTGTTCTATGATTGCTTCAAATTTCCTCGCGAAATAGATAGGCCTGTCTTCAGTAGACTACAATGGAAAAACATTTTGACTAGAATATTAATCAGATAAATCCAAAAAGATGTGCTGATGGGAAAAGTAATACAGCGAATAAACAAGGAATTGGCCACAGTTCTATGTAAAACTATCACTGCCAACAATGACATCAAAATAATGCTAGTCACAAAATGTGGTTGCTATAGCAACAGAATACCACTTCATAAAGGATATTGGACACTATTAATTAATCTACAAGGGTTGTCCAAAAAGTCTTGCAATTTATGATCTCATCAAGAGATTTGTCTTTTCTTCCCTTAATATTTCTTTATTCCGTCATATACAAAATCGTCTTATTACTGTGTAATATATTGTGGGGAATATTGGTGCTATAGCAATCTGGGTTTAGGGGGACAGGGTGTAACTCTTTATCCTATATTCACACATATGGCTTATTATAAGAACAGGTGAAACATTATCTGGTTTTAATTAAATGCAGTTTAATGTCATAAAAGTAGAATTCTTAGATTCTTTGTTTTTTAGAATGCTCTCCCATGTACTTACTTTAATTTTATCCCAATCTGAATATTTGATGTCATTAGGTGAGCATCCACACCAGTCGACAATGTGTTTATACTGGCACTTGCAGCCCTGCTTGCGACGCCAGTTTGTGAGATGGAGGTTGTTGTTGATGACCTTTGTACAGAACTTACTGTTATGCAAAACTGTGTGGAAGAACGACTGAAATAATACAATGGAATATTTCAAATATTATAAAATAATTCAATTGTTTGATTAAAGGGACAAGATCTGTAAAGGACATCATTGACTCTCATTATTTTTAGCGCTATCAAATAGTCCTTATATCGATTTTGTCAAAATAAATTGAAATCACCTCATTTATCCTGTTTGGCACTTAACTAGTCCAAATCTGCTCCACAACATTGTCATCACTTGTGTTGACATATAGTAACTTTGGCATACACCACCTTTCAAGTGAGAGCAAAATAACACATATTCTGGTCTGAGTACTTACTTCAGCTGGTAGAAGAGTGTATTTCCAAATCTCCATGGTCCCTACGACAAGGTCATCTTGAGAAGTTGTAACATATTCACAGAAGTCACGATGAAGTCCAACCCAATCACTTCCTCCATCCACACGTATCCCATCAGGCAATTTGCGGGAATCAAGTCGCCACATGTGATTGTCACATTGAACAAAGGTCTTGTCTAGTCCTTGTTTTTTAATGAACCTAAAAAGGCACAGGTAAAATGTTGATACTGTATATTCAGATAATATCTCATTCATATTCATTTTTAATAGTTTTAAGAAGTTATTTTTAAGCACACTGCACCATGTAAAATATCTTTGCTACTGAAAATAACTGTTTTTTGTGGTAAAATTGCAAATTGACTTTTATTCCATTAATTTCTTATTTGAAAAAAATGAATCCAAAGTATGAATCTAGGCTGAAACAACTCCCAGGACTACATGTGCATACATGTTACAACAAAAACAGTTATCAGCCCATAACATTATATTTGCTATTCCCTCAACCATAACAGTTACATTTCCTATAAGCACAATGACCCCATCACCACAGTAATCCAATATTACATATACATCAACTCATTTGATGAGACAAGCTACATCATTAAACAATATGAGGGATATTTCTGAAAAATTCAACTAAGATCTTTGAGTGCTTTGTATTTTCTCTATTATACATTTATCTATTATACAAAAGCATCTCTTAGATCTACCATGATGACTTTTGACTTAAACACCAAAGAATCAATCAACCATGAAACCACATGGTATTTCCTTGTTCTAGCTCTTGTGACCTGCACCTGTTTTACACATCACTATCACAAAGTGAGGATGATAAGTAAGAGGGAGGGGGGACCAGAGACTTGATGTGAGATAATCATCTTATTGCATCTTCTAATGCAACTACAAGACCATGCAACACAAATACATGTATTTGCAACAAGACTAGTCTGACTAGATATAATATTTGTTTTGCATAGCTTCATATCTACTTGTACCTGTATGTATAAAGATGCATTAAGATGAGGTCTCTGTTACTTTAAATAATAAATCTGAGTAACTTTTAACTAAAAACACAACAGAATTAATTAGCCAATCCAACACAAATGTTTAATTGACTTACGTTTGAGAGTCGTCCAAGTTTTTACTGGGTTTAAAATGTTCATGATTAATGAAGGAGAGAAGGGGGGTTTACTTAAAAAGTATTTTTTCAAAATCAATACTTTGACTCAAGTTTATATCTTAACAACTTGTGATTTTATAATCTTTTGATTATTCCTTGAGCAGGAAATCAAATACAGAGAATCACTTTAACCAGATTTACAATGATAAGATTCATTGAATGAACTTTACGCACTACTAAGTACTAATTGAATCACTCACCTTGGTGTGTCTCTTCCATGGGACTTGACGAAATTCATTCCTCTGAACTTTGTCAGAAATGCAGTCAGTTCATTCAGAGGCCTGGAATGAATAAAATATTGAATAAAACACTGGCAATAGAATAGAACAAGGCTAAAACATGCAAAATGTCACCACCTGCCATTTGTTACAGATGACATTTGTTAACAATGCCAACTGCTGAACACCAAACACCAACCAACGTCCACAAAAAGGTTGGAGACCATAACAATATGTGTGGACAAAAGATGTTTGCATAAATTCTATTCGGATTATCTGTTAAGGTAGGTCAATTGATTACATGTAGGCTTCAGATCAAATCCTTATACTCCGCCTTCCTTAATTCAAACCCATGATACTGCCACACACACATTGTATGTTTATTTCATTAACCTCTTGACTACCTGGAATGGTGAGATTTCTCGTCACCTCAGAAATGACCTTGAAAACCCAGAGTGAAGAGAAAATCCCTCACAAAATCTTTCACTAAATTAAAAATTGCTCCTGTTTGTACAATTTTCACCCACTTTACACAAAAAATTGTTTTAAAAGGGGTAGAAATGATCTCTGCTGTCTGATTTTACTAAGTTGAGCATCTAAACCTGTATAGGTATGCAGTGAAATGTCAAAAGGTGGCAAAAATGAAAAATTCTCTGGTTTCAACTGATTTTAGAGACTGAGATTCATGAAGTTAATTGTTAAATTCACTTTTCCACACTGCATGGCTTTACTGTGTGGTAAGAACATTAAACCATGTGTCATATATGATGTGATTCACTATTGTATCTAATTTGGAACCATTTCAATCAGTATTACGGTGTGAAGAACATTCCTTGATTGTTATTTTTGTGGATCTTAAAAGAAGACAATATTGGCTTAGTTAATTAAAACCAACAAAATAAAGAGTAATAATTCAAGATTAGCAAATTATTGTGAAAATAGACCTTTCTAATAACCCCTACCCTCTGTTGCGACAAAGAAGAAACCACTGTGAACATACTGTGAACAAATCTAGAGATAGAGAGAGGCCGATATACAAAACCAATTACTGATCTTAATAGTCGATTTTGTAAAATATGCAAGGACTCGGTTATAGAAGATGAAACACACTTTTTATTCAAATGTAAAAAATTGGAGTTTATCAGAAAATCTCATATTGAAAAACTTGAAAACCTGTGTCGTAATTTTAAAACCATGAATGACCACCAAAAGACAATTTTTCTATTGACGAGTGAGGGGATCATATTAAAAGAATCTGCTGACATGATAAAGTATCTAATGATGGGTAGAGACAGGATTCTTATATCAAAGTAACATTTCATATGTCATTTGAAGAATGTAATCCTATTTTCTTTACTTTATTGCCTATATTTACTGTTATTGAAAATTGTATATTAGATGTACATTTGGCCCTAAAAGGGCATCAGTACTAATAAAATCCTATTATTATATTGGCTCAATTCATGATAGCATAGATTGTAGGTGGAAATGTTATCAAAAATAATATTTAATTCATTGCTAATTTTGGAAATCTTCTTAGAATTTTGTTTGTTTACATTACTACCTACAATCAGACATCACATGCCTGGTCAATGTATCCTAGCTTCATTTGTGCAGTAAAAGGTGGTACAGTTTATTAGAAAGGTAAATATTGCGTGTGTGTCTTTTAAACTTCATTTAACAGCAGTTCTCAATTTTAAGCATGATTTTATAAAATCTCACTTTATTGGAAAATCTGATTCACTCAGATTAACAAAGTAGTCCCATTTCCAGTCCTTAATTGCTAACATGTCTCTCATACACTGGATCAACATCTGTAGTAGACTAGCCCCACCCCAGATGGTAGAGAGCCTCGTCTGTGACATCATCACATTTGGGAACCTATCAGCAAGCACGCTAAGTTCTCTGTACAGATAGTCCTGACGCTACAGAATAAAATAAAATTTAGTTATTCTCCATGTTTGATTGGAGTTAATGTCTAGATGTTCATGTCAGATCAACACATTTCAAAATTTTAGCTACTTTCAACTTGGAGATAGTCTAACATAAAGCCTCCTATTTATGTATTTCCTTACCAAGAGTTCTATAGAAGGTGTGTATGTAAGTGGGAGAGTACATGAATAAAGGCAATGATGCATAGAGGGTCACAGTTAAAATAAACACTATACTGGAGTCGCTACTTTCAGAACAACTTGAAACAAGGCATTAACGTGACAAAATGTCACCACCTGATTGCTCACAATATTATGAGTTCAATCTTAAGCCAGATTTGAATATCTGAGAACTTGTAGATGATTAAATTGAGTCAATTTGAAGCAAGTTGAAAAAATACCTTTTTTGACCCTGAGAAGGTCATTGAAGGCAAAATCTCAAATCTAAAGTCAGATTTGAACTTCTTAGAACTTGTAGATGATTTTGAAAAAAAAAAATCATTTTAAAGCAACATGAAAAAAGACCTTGTTGACCTTCAGGTCAATTTTTTGACCTTGAGAAACATGTAGATGATTTTGAAAAGAAAATTGGTCAATTTGAAGCAAGTTTTTGACCTTTTTTACCTTCTAAATTATTAAATTATTAAAGTCAGATTTGAACTTCTGAAAACTTGTAGATGATTTTGAAAAAATTGAAGTCAGTCTAAACAGAATTTGTTAAGTTATTGGAAGTTGTTATAATTTGTTACAGACACAGATCGACAACCACCGATTGCCAACCACCAACCGAATATGTCACCACATTTTGGTGTTGACATAATTAGAGAGAGAGTGTCATTAGAGACAAGCGAGAGGTGATGCACTAGGGAGAGGTTTAACATGATCGATCTGTATATCTTAAAATATATGTAACACTGTATCAGCTACTTTCAGAATAACTTGAAAAAATTAAAGTGCTATGCACTAAAGAGATAGGCATTGGAGAGGGAGGCATGCACTAGGGAGAGGGTTAACATGATAGAGATGCACATGTACAGGAGATGTGCATGATAAAGTGAAGTACAAACAGCTTCAAAACTCTGAATAGAAAATATATCTTACAGAATCCACATGTATGAAGTAGTAATGATGAGGGTGGTAGAGCATCTTGAAGAGACGTTTCACTTGGCGTACAGCACGTCCATTCACAGTAAGAACAAAGGCAATCCTGACATGCGTGTCTGTTATATCTTCACCCTCGACCCTCCAATTATCATTGGTAGTTTTTTCTACAATTAAAATTAAGTAATAATATTGTTTAAGTCAAACTGCACATGACAATGCATGTTGTATTCAGCCAGCTCATAAAGACCGCGTTTTTGAACTACCCGCGGACGAGTGCATTGCATAATACATAATAAGAAGTATTCCCCTGAGATATCACAAAAAAGAACAATGAGCCCATGAGTTCCAAATTACATGCTCACAAGTTTTCAACAAAAGCGGTTTATCCATTCCAAGCGCACTTACATCGCTAATTACGATGTGTAAAACTTGTTGGGTAACAGCGATTGTCAACCGCGCCGGCTTGTTGTGCACCACACGAGTTCGATTGCAATAAACCACAACGTCTCTCAAAAGAATTATGTGAGTGTTAGTGCGCTTGGATGAGTTTTTTTGTTGAAAACATGTGACCATGTAATTTGCGCTATGGTGCTTTTTGTTCTTTTTCTTGATACCTGGGGGAAATCTCATTACTTATTACGCAATGCACCACTGCCGAGGGCAATTCAAAAACACAGCAAAAGTGTTCGTGCTTGCAGTGTTCAACTCAACAGAGCACTGTGTTTCTTTATGAATCAGACAATAATTCGATTGATATAATCGACCTTACTCTCACAAATAGTTGCCTGAATGACAAAATAATTGAATTTAATTCTCATTTATTTATGACTCACACATTCCAATCTAATAAGTAAGAACATGAAGGACTTGAGTATTTATTACTTCTGCATGTTCAATATATTTTTAGTATGAATAATTTTGGCTTAAAAAGAGACACACTTTGAGAATGAGCCAGCTCATGGAAAAAGTTGTTTGACAAAAAGGTAATGACAGGCTTTTGATCGTTGTTTTAATTGATTTTTAATTTCAAACAATAACATTTTTACAAAATTCGAGGTCACATCTTTATGGTTGTATGATTGGCCCCATCTAAAATGAACAAAAAACAACGAACCTTTAAAGTGATTTACTCCATTAGGGAGATACTTATATCATTACCCCTATACTGACATACATACGAGGGTTGTCCCAGAAGTAATGCACTATATGCTCTAACTTTATCAATAATTGATATTTTTCCATGAAATTTTCAGTAAATGTTCCTTAGAGACATTTTGATTATTCTAAAAATTTTCATGTTGACTGATAAAACTATATTGATGTTATAATAAAATCAAGTTGGTGAGTTTGGGTAGGGCGGGGCAGGTTATACAGTCACGTCAAAAGGAATAAAAAATTGAAAATATGAAATGATTAATCAACAAATACCATTTGGTGTAGCTATAAGAAGTATGCTCAAAAATACATTTTAAGATATTAAATTACTCTGAGAACATCCTAGATTTAATGGATGTATCTTGCACAGTGTCCCATTTCACATTTTCTCAAAATATTGCCCTTTGCATGTTATGTACTTTTGATGCCTGTTAGGTCAAATACTCTCTGCAATTTCTTCCACTGTGACTTGTGGAGTTTTTGCCTCCCATGTTTGGAGTTGTCATACAGGGTCAAATCGTCTCTTCTAAATCTCTTCTGCCACCCCATAATTGTAGTTCTATCTGGTATATACTCCTTATATACTTTCTTCATGGTAGCATTGTTTTACGTGGCTGTGAGTCCAAGGGAAGTATGAAATTAGGCCACCAAACACAAGGCCCTCTGTTATCAGGTGAGAATTGCAGCCATTTTTGCAATTTCTTGACTGTGACTGTATTTGAATTCGTGACTATTGAAATGTGGTATTATGACATTACAGTGCTAAATGTCATTATTCGTACTTAGTTAACATCATGCTAAATAAATTTAACAATTTCCCAAACATTTTGACAATTTAAAGGAAAGAAATATTAATAAAACAACACTTTAGATCTTTTCATAATTAGAAAAATTGGTACCTGCCCCGCCCACCCCTACCCCCATGTCGTTATAGCAACCATATTACGACTTAATATTAATGTTGGATGCTGAAACTTCAGGATATAATAGATTAAACTTCAATTGTTATATACACAAAATTTCAGCTGAATTGAAGAATATTAAAGAAAGTTACAGCATATAGTGCATTACTTCTGGGACAACCCTCGTACAGTACTTACTTCCATAGCCTGTATTGTAGACATTTTGTAGTTTAAAGCCACCACATTTGCTAGTGATATCACCAGGGCATGAGGCATCACAGAGGGAGGAATCTGTATTACCGTACTTGCCATATTGGTCCCCACACCAACATTCTGTACCAAACTGTACTGCCGCATAACGCAGACCTACAGATAAATCAAGAGTCACATAACCATGTCAAATAACACTGGACCAAATAAACATACTAAGTTATGTATATTAATAGTAATCAATGACTTTTTATTTACAAACATGAGAAAATCTGAAATATAAATGTTACGTACTTGTAAAAAATTATGTATTTTCAGATATATTTATATAAAAGGGTTTTAATTTTTATTTCACACATAACTGCCAAATTTATTGTATTTTCAATAATTCTTTAGTATTAAAAAGATTTGAGGAAATGCTTCAATCTAAAATAACAATAAATACATTAGACTTTAGGGTACAAGTCCAGAAGTATAATTTCTGGAAAATTAACTTAAGTGTCAGGTTGATTGAATAAAGTGCCATATTAGATTAAAATTACCATTGGATGTACACAGAAAATGAAATCTTATGTCTCTTAATGTCTAACTAAGTATCAATGGATTGCAATAATCATGATTGATCGAGTCTACTGTAGTTTCTAGGAGTGTTCAGTAGAATTGATTTGATTGTACAAGGATCTATTACTATTAATTAGCTAATGACATTTATTATATACATTGTACATGTACATGATTTTCCTGAGCAAATGATGGTAATACTATTGGATCGAAGGAATTTTTTACTTTGACGGATTGATCTTGTAGGGTGTTGGAGGGTTGTCCTGGCTCTGATAAACAATTGTGATTGAAAAATAGAAATCTTTAAAATCTAGAATATTTCAAAGGGTATTGGTTTTACAAGTTTAAGTTTTTATTTCCCTTCAATTTTAACCTCTCAAAATCCTTGATGATTATTAAAAGTCATAAATAAAAAAGCAATTAAATTAAATATCTCAGTGAAATATATATCTATAAAATAAATATAAATTCAAACAAATACATTAATTAAATTTTAATCAATATTAATCAAGTTTTCAGAGTTGCAGTAAATAATAAATAGCCTCAAATGCAGTGTAGCAGAACTATATTAATTTGAACAAATCATTGCGATGAATATGCAATTAATATATTAAAATTAGAACATTCTCAAATGCAGTGTAGCAGAACTATATCAATTTGAACAAATCATGTCAAAGAATATTGATATATCAATATTAGAAAGCCCTAAAATTACAATCATGGTCCCATCTTGCATCTACTTCACCTCCAGTTGAGGAGAGGTATACAAGACCTTGAAGCAAGACTAAATGTTGACAAAAGAAGAAAGAAGTACTATTGAGATACCTTTGTTAGACTGTACTGTATATTTATTATGTATTATACAGTTTTATTGATGTATTTTACCTATTCATATATAAGAGCTAACCAAAGTTTAAATGTTTAAGAATCCCTATTTTTACTATTGAAAATGGATTCTAGTAATACTATCCCACATGAATCTAACTGTTGAGACTCAATCAATTTAAATTCTTCTGAGATAATAAGGATTTTGTCTCTATCCTCATAGTAACATAAATCATGATGACATCCCGATGCTAAGTCATTAGTCAATTACATCCCCATGTTAATGCAATGCACCCTTGCTGAAATCCTCATTTTCTAAGAAGAACTCAAGTTGATCAAATAGGTCTCAACAAGTAGATTTATGTTGGATAGTATTGCTAGAATCCATTTCTTAAATCGGCACTAAAATGGCCATTTTGAAAATTGGGTATCGAGCAGAATTTCTACTCCATAAAGTATATGTGTACAAAATATGAAAAAATCGTGCCAACGGTATTTGAGTTATTGCCCAGACGGATGGACGGATGGACAGATGTATGGATATATGTACGTATGGACGGACGGACAGAGGCATTCCGTATATCCCTCCGAACTTTGTTCGATGGGATAACAAAACATCACCAGTCATGAGAAAAAACAACTATCCCAACAAGTCATCATCCAATGTAAAAACAAACAGTGTTTTTGATGTCACATTGACTTTGACTTTGAACACCTCATGATATGATACCGTGTAAACGAGCTGATCGCAGCAACTTGGCCTATTCAAGAATTCTAGGGCAATAAATGATAAAACACAACTAGGTTACCGAACATCTACAAAGGTAACTGCTAAGATGGAGATATTATATATAGCACTTGCAACCATATGTGTGCTCCTCCTTGGCGTTCTCATTGATGGGAGGTTGAAATACTGGAGATATAGGCTCCCACCAGGCCCTACTGGCTGGCCTATACTAGGCTGTCTACCTACTCTCACAGAAAACCTTCATCTGGATATGGTTAAACTTGGACAGGAATATGGCAGTGTGTTTTCTGTATACTTTGGCACAAGGTAAATATTTTGTGTATTATTCAGATCATCATTTATGATGTGCTAAAGAATAGTAGATAGCATACAGGTAGATTTGGAAGAATTGTTGAACATTTGATGTGCATTGGTAATGAATTTGTAGATATACAACAAGGTATTAAGATCCCAAAGTGACACAACCTGGAAAGTATGTAAAGCAACTGGTACAGATGACAATGTTGAACAGCAATCAATACTGGTGGGTACTGGATAGAACCAAGAGGAGGGAAAACCCCATGATTCAATTGATGACATACGATTTCCTCCTTCGTCCACCTCCTTTCCCGGAAGAACTTACCCTCCATCTTGGTTTTCAAAATTTCAAATTGACCTA